CCCCCCTATCCCCCCCTCCCCCGCCCAGTCCCCCCTCCCCAACCCCTGGCAACCACTAATCTACTTTCCGCAGGCATGGATTTGCCTGTTCTGGACGTTTCCTATCAGTGGAATCCTATGCGACCTCTTGTGACCGGCTTTTTTCACTTAGCGTAATACCTTCAAGTCTCAGCATGTCACTCACTCCTTTTTATGGCCGAATAATATACCATTGCATGGATACACCACATTTTACCTGTCCATTTGTCCATCAATCGATGTTTCTGTTTCTTCCCCTTTTTGGTTATTGTGAACCATGAACTATGAACATTCACATGCAAGTTTTTGTGTGGACACGTTTTGAATTCTTTGGGGGCCTGCATTACTTTCTATTTTTATTTTTATTAAAAAAATTTTTTTTTCAACGTTTTTATTTTATTTTTGGGACAGAGAGAGACAGAGCATGAACGGGGGAGGGGCAGAGAGAGAGGGAGACACAGAATCGGAAACAGGCTCCAGGCTCCGAGCCATCAGCCCAGAGCCCGACGCGGGGCTCGAACTCATGGACCGCGAGATCGCGACCTGGCTGAAGCCGGACGCTTAACCGACTGCGCCACCCAGGCGCCCCATTACTTTCTATTTTTAATACATTGCATATTTTTATGTACTTTGGTACACGGAATATTTTTACATATGATTACTGGAGTTTTTGATGCCCCCTTAAAATGTATACTTGAGTCAAGTGCCTGACTGGCCTCCCCTTGCTCCCACCTTGCAAGTCCTGTCCCTTGCCAGCTGTGGGACTTTGGGCAAGTTGTTTAACCTCTCGGTGCCTTGGTTTCCTCGTCTGTAAAATGGGGATGATCCCTGTACCTACTGACAACGATTAGGGGGATACAATGAGGCAATATACACAGGGGGGCCTGGTGTTGGGCCTGCACAGGTGGGTCTCAAAATGGATGTGACCTAGCCTTGACCTTCAGGAGAGCCGACCCGCCTGCCTAGAACCCCTTGCTGCTTCAGTTCCCCAGGGAAACCCGCTATTTTTCCCTCTCTTGCCTCGGCCTGAACCCCCTACAAAGTCCTCGGGGCGGGACCGAAGCTGTTCGCCAGAAGGCCTCGGTGGCCCCCAGCCCCTTCCGTCCCAGCTGCCCTGCCCCCTGCCACGGCCTCCCCCACCCTCCCCGCTGCCCATTCCCGTTGAAGGCCTCGGCTCCCCCGTCCCTCTGCGCTGCCGTGAGGCCTGCACTTTGCAGGGCTGAAGTCCAAAGTTCAGTCCCTTCGCTAAGCACACGGATAAATATGAACCTTGGAGAATTTCCCCAGCTCCAAGGTAAACAGAGCGGGCAGGGGCCCTGATTCACTGGCCGCTGGGGCCAGAGTTGGGGGTTGGGGGTGCCCACAGGGCTTGGTTAGTGGGGTTTGGGGGGGCAGTAGGCGCAAAGAGCCTGGTTCGTGACTGCCTGCCGATCGGCCAGCCAGTAGACAGCCCGCTCGGTGGGGGAGGTGGCCGGTGTGGTGGCCCCAGGCCGCGTGGCCCGGTGGTGGTGGTGGAGCCATGGTGTCTAAACTGAGCCAGCTGCAGACAGAGCTTCTGGCGGCCCTGCTCGAGTCAGGCCTGAGCAAAGAGGCGCTGATCCAGGCCTTGGGGGAGCCGGGGCCCTACCTGCTGGCCGGAGATGGCCCCCCGGACAAGGGGGAGTCCCGCGGCGGTGGCGGTCGGGCGGAGCTGGCCGAGCTGCCCAATGGGCTGGGGGAGGCAAGGGGCTCCGAGGACGAGACGGACGACGATGGGGAAGACTTCACGCCGCCCATCCTCAAAGAGCTGGAGAACCTCAGCCCCGAGGAGGCGGCCCACCAGAAGGCCGTGGTGGAGACCCTGCTGCAGTAAGGACCCCTTGCCCGTCCCCGGTGTTCAAAGAGCCCAGGGAGGCCCACCCTCGGCTCTCAACTAGCCCTTCGTCTGGGAGCTATGGCTCTTAGCCTGGCTGTGAGGAAGGGGGACAGGGCCCCCGAGAGCTCAGGGCGTCCTTGCTCAGAGGCTGGAGTCTCCCAGCCCCTGAGCTGGCCCTCGGCAAGGTCCCCAGTTCCCGTGAGCCAGGGCTTTCCACCCAGTGCTTGAGAAGGAAGGGCATGCTCCAGGGGAGCTCTGAGCCGGGGTGGGGGGTGGAAAGCAGGAAAGCTCATAATTCAAGTGCCTGGAGAACCAGAGGGTGGTGGGAATTTTTAGCCACCAGGGCCATTTCTACTTCCCAAACCCTAACTTCCTGCTACGCACTCAGATCGCAGGCTCCAGGGTCAGGAAGCACGGTTAGCGAGAGGGGGTGCCGAGGTTAGGGGCTCCCTTAGCCACCCAGGGACTCAAGCATTAAGCCAGGAAAGCCCAGGTCTTACCTGAGCGAGATGGAACCTCGGAGCAGGACCTGGTTCCCCTTTCCTGCACAGTGTTAGTTAGGCCCCCACAACTCACCAGCAGGCACCATTAGAGGCCTCCCTGTGTACCCCCATCCATTGGCCGGCTCCCCATCTCCCAGAGAACTGGGTGGGTCTGAGCCCGATGCCTCCCCTCTCCTCAGCAGTGCTGACCTGGTTACTAATTACCCACGAGCTTTATTATTTCTCTTTTGTTTTATAAATTTATAAACGGTAAAAGGCTCTGATAAGGCCTGTGATCATTAACTTGTAAAGATGGCCTGGGGAGACCTGGGCCAACCAACCTCCCACCAAGCAGGGGTGGGGGGAGGGGGCCCAGGGGCTACAGGGACTGCCTCCCCAAAGGCTCCTAAGCTCTAATCCTAACAACCAGGCACTGTACTGCAGTTTTATACGCAGATGTTCAGATAATGTTGAGACGAACCCTGGAAGGAAGCTAGGCATAACTCTGCTTCACAGATGAGGAAACCAAGGCCCAGAGAGGGAAGGTAGCTTGACTAAGGCCACCCAGCTGAGACTCCACAGCCACTCTGTTTGGTGCTTTCAATTCCCAGGACGAGGCAGCCAGAGGGAGAGTCCCAGAGACGCTCTCTAGGGGACCATCTCTTTTTCTGTCCAAGGTCCTGATCCCAGCTTGGGGTGGGGGAGCCCTCAGGGTCTGCCTGGCCTTGTGAGGGCCTGGGCAGGGGGCAGGGAGCAGCTTGGGCCCCCTGACTTGGCAGGAAGAAGAGGGCAAAGGGCCCTGCTGAGCTGCAGGGGAGGGGCAAAGAGTCAGGCATTGCCAGACCCAGGGCGAGGGCCACCGGGACAGGGTGGGGCTGGGCCAGACCTGCTCAGGGCCCCAGATGGGACTGGGGGCTTTGGGGTGGGAGTGGGGGCAGGAGGTGCCAAGGGCCTTTCTTACCTGGCTGGGTGGGGCCTGTTGATCAGCAGCCCCTTTAGTGGAATGGTGGGTGGGGGGGGGAGGCTCGATCCACAGCACTTGAGGGGGGAGCAGAGGTCAAAGTGCTCCCTGGGGACCAGCGGAGATCCTGGAAGCTGTGAGAGAGAGAAGAGCCACTGAGGAAGACAGAGGGCATGGGGGGGGGGGGTGAGATGCAGAGGCCTGAGGAAGCACAGGATAGCGGAGGAGCCAGGAGCAGAGGGGCTCACACCCAGCTGGGAGAAGGGGCTGGGGAGAGAGCGAGACGCCCCAAGCTGAGAGGAGGCCGGAGTGCTTCCCCGCCTGCCCCGATTGGGTTTTCTTTAATGCTAACAGCATGCTATTTACTTTCCATTTAAATTTGAGATGTTGCTATAAATTATCAACCAGCTCCTTGTTCCTGCGGAGTTTATAACTAACTACCTGGGTTACTTATTGTTCAGGTAACAAAAGGGATCTGAAAACGCCCCGAGGGGAAAAAGTGGGGCCTCTACCCTCAGGGCACAGGAGGGAGTGGGGTGGGCACCCGTGAGGAAGGCCTGGACACTGGGGGTGGGGGAGGTTAAGGCTGGAAGGGATGGTGCACAGGCCGGGTTTCCAGGGGAAGCCATGTCTTTGGAGAAGACAGTGTGTGGAAAGAGGCAGGGTGGGTCCTAGGTGAGCAAGTGGTGATCGGGAACCTGAGCTCTTCCCTCAGACCTCCACCCTTAGTTCACCGCATGACCTTGGGCAAGTCTCTTCTCCTGCCTCAGTTTCCCTAGCTGGCCAATGAATAAAATTCAAATTCTCTGTCCTGGTTCCCTGACCTCTTCTTGAGGGACCTTCTCTCCCTCCCTCCCTTTCCTCCAGTTATGTTGAATGCGCTGATTCCTACCTCAGGGCCTTTGCATGTACAGTTCCTTCTGCGGACACTTCTTTCTAGATCTTCCCATGACCGATTCCCTCTTCTCCTTTTGTTCAAATGTCACCTCCTCAGGGAGGCCCTCCTTGACTCCCTATCTAAAGGCAGGACCCACTACAATCATGCTGTCTTCCACCACCTTCTGTTACTAGCCTTTGTCCCTTAACTTTATTTATGATGATCTATTTTTGTGTGTTCTCTGTCTCCTGTCATGAAAATAGAAACTTTTCAGAGCTTCTGTGTGGCCTGGTTTACCACCCTGATATCTAGCCCAGTGGCTAACACAGAGCAAGAATGAAAGGGTGGCTAGGGTTCCCTGAAGCCCCGGGGACGTCTGTTAAGGTCAAGGGAGGAACCTGTACCCAGGGCTCCTTCCCGGGTCCTCCCTGTTCCTGAGCAGCTCAAACCACAACCTGAGGGTCTCTGATCCTCTCCATCAGGCAGCACCAGGGCATTGAGACCCAGGAAGACAGTGGTTAGGGTGGGACAGTCTGACATCTCTGACTGAGGCCAACCTGCGTGGGTTCAAATCCCAAATCAACCCCACCCTAACCTGGGCAGGTGATTTCATGCCTCTGAGCCCTAGTTTCGTCCGCAAGGCAGAGATGACAATAACACTTACCCACAGGGCAGTAAACGGTTACTATGAGTAATAGTCCCATTTTACAGATGAGCAAACTTAAGGCTCAGAGTGGCAAAACGACTTGCCCAAGGTAATTTACAAAGTACTAAGGCTGGGACTGGGACCCCAGGTCCTCCTAATCCCCGTGCTCTGCACAGCACCCTTGAGGTTGAATGCCCTTCCTTGATAAGCTTATTTCCTTTTTATCCTCCCGAGTTCTTGCTCTTAACCTCCCATCCACTCACTTCCACGCAGGACTCTAGAGGTCACGGTGGCTTACAAATCGTGGAACTCATTTTCTCCTCCTGGCAACCTATGAAATACTATTAACCCAGTATCACAGCTGGGGAAATTGAGGCACACTGAGGTTAAGCCATCTCCTAAGGCCACCTGGATAGCGAGTGGCAGAGCTGAGATTCAACCCGAGATGGGAACCCTCCCCCCTCCACCAGCCACATGCACTGAGAACTCAGCTCCCCTTCCAGCTGCTCTCCAAGCTCCACAGCCTTGGACCCTCTGAAACCCCCGGGGCCAGCGAGCCAAAGGCCCAAAGTCTTGAACCTCTGATTGAGCCCATAATGTGTAGCAGGTGGGAGGAGGAGACGTGCGCAGATCTTCACCTCTCCTGGGTCCTCTGCCCTCTGCTCTGGGGCTGGGGGTCCCAGGGCCACATCATCATGATGATGACGACGATGATGATGATGGTGACAAACTGTACTTACTGAGCGTCACGGGCCAGGCCCCGCTCTACGCGGTTCACTCTTGTTTGAAACTCACTCATTTGTCCCAAGGGCACTGGGAGGCAGACGTGGGCTTCCTGCCACGGTACAGATGAGGCGTGGGGCACGCGCACATCGTGCTAGGGCACCGTGATGGGATGTGAACCCGGGTTGGCTTGACCCTTAAACCCATTAGAATAAGAGCAGGAGATATCTGGAGAGGTGGCCTCTTCGTGCTGGGTTGGGAGAACTGCCCTGAAAGGGGTCAGGTCCTTTGAGACTGATGTGAGCAAGAGACAGAGCAAACAGCAGAGACACAGACAGGAGAGACAGAGAGAAAGAGAGAGAGAGGCAGAGAGAAGCTAAGACAGATACAGAGAGAGACACGGTGAATCAAATGGACAGTGACAGATAGTGAATCTTTAGTGTGAGCCAGGGAGCCCCCCCCCCCCCCGAGAGAAAGACTTAGCTCATTCTCTCCTGAGAAGAGAGAAGGGAGGGAGGGAGGGTTGCTCAGGAGGGTGATGCCTACAGTGGGGGGAGGAGGGAGGCCAACAGGCAGCCTGGCTCCAGAATCAGATAAACATGTTTGCCTCGAAGCACAACACCGGACTTTGTACCTCGTTTCCCTCCTGGCTCTGACTGGCATCCAGGGAGCAGGGGAGGGGTTGACAAGGAGGATCCTAAATGCAGGGAGGAGGAAAAGCTCCAGGAGAGCTCTGGTTGGGGTGGGGGGAGGTGTCTGGAAAAAAGAGAAATATTGTGGAGTCCCAGCTAGGTCACTTTGCACAAGCACTCCCTTTCTGAGGTTCTGTTTTCCCATCTGTGAAATGGGCACATAAGTAGCACCTGGTTCCCAGGGTTACATGGTAAAATGTAAATGACCAGCCTTTAGCGCAGTGCCTGGTTCACGGCAAGTAAGAAACACGAATTCTCACGTCGGTCATTCTTCTACAACTGGGACTTTGCCGTACCGACGGCCGGCCGACTTAAATTGAGTGGCCCCTGCCTCCCTTCCCTCCCTACGCGTATGGGAACTGCTGATAAAAAGGAGAAAGTCACGGGACCCAAGCTGCTGAAAGGCTCTGTGCCTATCACACCTGAGAAGGGCATCATCAAGGGGGCAAGGCCAGGCTGGTTCTTTGGGAAGGAGGGAAGGAGGGAAGGGGAGAAGGCAGTATGAGGTGGGCCTCAAAGTGCTGGGGGGCTTATTTGCTTTTTGTTCTTTTACAATTTAGTTTTAAGTGTTATACATGCATGAATAGCATATGGTACAACGATATATTACATTATTTTAAAAGTGCAGAAAAGCAACAGAGGACACCGTCCTCTCCCCCTGGCCCCGGCACTCCATTTCTATCTCAAGACCACTGGTGTCAAAAGTGTCTTCTGTGTTCTTCTGGTATTTCATGCAAACACAAGCAAATATGTGGAAATCTGTCAGGCCATTTCACATTTTACACAAATCGCACAGCAGACCTACCAGAGGGGCTCTGTTCCATCAGGGCGCAGGGAGAGCTTTCTCCCTGGGTTTTTATGGCTGGAGGTACCGCGATTGGTACCCTTTCGCTGGCACTTAGGTGGTTTCCCATATTTTGCTGTGCCAAACATGGCGATGAACTGCCTCCCACACCTGCTATTTGTCACACGTGCGAATACCCGGAGGCTCAAATTCTAGAAGCGAAAGGCTCAGCTGAGGAGGCGAGAGCCTCAGGCTTTGGAGCCACACAGAGCTGGGTTCAAACCCCGCCCCCCGCCCTTGCTCTCCTGTGTCAGCACTGTTGTGTGGAGCTGTTTTCATCAGACATATTTGCCCTACAAACTCAGGGGAGGACGGGGCAGAGAGAGGGGCTGAGACGAACAGAAGGGGGAGAGAGAGCATTTGTGTAGTACAGGCACTCAGAGCCCCCCATTCTCCACAGTGAGCAGGGGATAAGAACATGAATCGTGGATGGCTGTCTCTCCAGTGAGAGAGTCTCAGCCCACAGAGTGGGATTCAGGTGCACACACACACACACACACACACACACACACACACAGCTGTATACCAGCTGACAACCTTTTCACCTGGACCTGTCTGCCCCTGTGCTCTGGGAAACTGGCCAGACCACAGCCTAGGGGTTAGTACAGATTTTCAGGGGGTGTTTTGACCCTATGTGATTTGTACCTGATAGGTTGACTTAGAACTGAACCCCTTCATATGGGATGGGACTCTGCTGGGCTGTCCCTGTGACCTTGGCCAAAAGATGCTATGCCAGCACTCTTAGCATCAGTGACCCTGCCTGTAAAATGAGAGAATTGCTTTTCTCTCCTTGTTTTCAGAACCACCCCCCGCCAAGTAGGTCTCCCTCATCCATCCATCCACCTGCTCACACCCCTATTCACTTACCCATCTATCCTCCTATCCATTCATCAAACTACCCATCCATCCATCCACCACCCACCATCCCATTTGCCCAGCCATCTACCTGTCCACCCATCTACATATTCCCCTATCTACCTATCCATCTACCTTCCTATCCATTCATCCAACCATCCAGTCACTATCATATATTTATCATCCATCCATCCATCCATCCATCCACCCATCATCACATTTACTCACCCATTTCTCCATCCCTCTATCCACCTACCCTCCCATCCATTCATTCATCCACCCATCCACCATCCCATCCATCCACCCACTCACCCATCCATTCATTCATTCATGCATTCACCATGGGCATGCAGGCCTATTCTGGGTGCTGAGAACCAGAGAGTTCCTGCCCTCCAAGTGTTTACGGTCTCTCACAGTGGATAAGACACAGCCACAAACAACATTTTGAGGTAGGAGGAGGTGAGGGGGTCTTCAAAGGAGGCACAAAGGTGAGGATCTTCCCCAAGTGGCTTGTATAGCTTCTGGTGGGAGTCAGTTCATGTCTTCATGTCAGTCCATATGTCTGTGCATTCATGTTTCTAAACTTTTCACTGTGCCCACTTCTGTGTGGCACTGTTTGAGGCCTGTGTCCACACGTGTGTGCCTAGAAGTCTCTGTTCCCATGTTCGTGTGTCTGCGTTCCTGTGTCCTGGCACCAGTGCCCCTCCCTTGCTGTCCCTGAGTCTAAGTGTAGGCCCCAATCCCCACGCCTGCTTTCACCCCCAATCCCCATGCTCAGGGCTGACGGGACCCCCGACCCTGCCTGCACCCCCACGCCCAGCAGCCTCTGTCCTGGTCCCTCCTCCTAGGGAGGACCCGTGGCGCGTGGCCAAGATGGTCAAGTCCTACCTGCAGCAGCACAACATCCCACAGAGGGAGGTAGTCGACACCACCGGCCTCAACCAGTCGCACCTGTCCCAGCACCTCAACAAGGGCACCCCCATGAAGACACAGAAGCGAGCGGCCCTGTACACCTGGTACGTCCGCAAGCAGCGAGAGGTGGCCCAGCGTAAGTAAAGACCACAGCCCGTCCTCCCTGGCAGCTCTGGGGTGGGGGCCGGAAGCTCCTCCACCGCACGACGGGGATAGGCCGTCTGAGCGGAAGTCCATGCGAGTCAACGGGCGCTTAGTACCTGTTCCGCGCAAAGCACTCTGGGGGAGGGGAGTAGGTTGGTCCTGGGCATCCGCGGATGGGTGAATGGAGTCCTTGCCTTCTAAGTGTTCTGTGTAGATGGGAAGCAGAAAAGATCATCATGATACAGCGAGACATGTATTATAATGTGATAAAAACAACAGTAACGGCTAGTGTTTACGGAGCATTCACCGTGTGCCAGGCCCAGGGCAGAGTAGGACTTCATGAAGTATCTCAAAATGTTGAGCTGGCAGAGGACCAGAGAATAATCTATTGTCAGTGGGGAGGCAGGGGCATCAGGAGGAACCACACCAGAGGCAGAACTTTCAGACTAGGTCTTAAAGTCAGAATGGAATTTTGGCCCATGGAGGCGGCAGGGAATGGTGTTTGGGCCAAAGGAGCAGCCTGAGTAAAGGCTCAGAGGCAAGGTGTAGGCTCAGGGAATCCTCCATTGCAAACTCCAGATGTGGCCACGCTCTCTTCAGAGAAGTCTGGGTTCCCTTACCCCGACCTCACACCCCACAAAATCCCAAGTGCACTTTCACACTACTGAGCCTATGTGTAGACATTAAAAAAAAAAAAAAAAAAAAGTTTATTTTATGATTTATCCAAGGTTTTTAAAAAGGCGATACATACTTAATTTAAAAAAATAGGAGGGGGCACCTGGGTGGCTCAGTCGGTTAAGAGGCCGACTTCAGCACCGGTCATGATCTCAGTCTGTGGGTTCCAGCCCAGCGTCGGGCTCTGTGCTCACAGCTCAGAGCTTGGAGCCTGCTTCCGACTCTGTGTCTCCCTCTCTCCGCCCCCACCCCCCCACTCACGCTCTCTCTCTCAGAAATAAACATTAAAAAAATTTTTTTAATTAAAAAAATAGGAGAAAATAGAGTTTACAATAAAAATTAGGTGTTCTTCTCCTAAAGGACACCCCCAGTTTGATGTATACTTCCAGAGATATTTAATGCATATACTAGCAATATATATGTATTTTCCTCTGCTTTTTTTTTTTTTTTTAATTTTAAGCGAGAGCAAGAGAGTGCACATGGGTGGGGGAGGGACAGAGACAGAGAGGGTGAGAGAAAGAATCCCAAGCAGGCTCCGTGCTGTCAGCACAGCACCCAGTGCGGGGCTCGAACCCGCAAACTGTGAGATCATGACCTGAGCTGAAATCAAGAGTCAGATGCTTAGCTGACTGAGCCACCCAGATGCCCCTCCTCTGCTTTGCTGCTAGCTATTCTGTTATTTGGATGTACCGTTATTTGTTTAATTGGCTCCCTACCAAAGGACTTTTATTAGGGTTTTTCCAATGTGCTGTTAGAACCAATTGCTTCAAAGAACATCCTTTTTTGTATCTATTTGTGCTCACACGAGAGTGTCTATAGAATAATTTCTAGAAGTGAAATTCTAGGTCAGAGTGTAGGTACTTGAAAATTTTTGATAGATACTCCCGTAGTTCCTTATGAAGACATAGCGACAATCTGCATGTTTGGTAATTAAAAAAATAAACTTTCCTCACCATGCTTCCTAAACCTTTATTAAAATGTTAAAGTCCTAAATTTCACATATCGATTTGCTGTTTGTTTATTTACTTATACAAGCTGGAAGTTTTTTAGAATGTCTATTTATTTAAAAAAAATTTTAATGTTTATTTATTTTTGAAGGAGAGAGACAGAACATGAGCAGGGGAGGGGCAGAGAGAGAGGGAGACACAGAAGCAGAAGCAGGCTCCAGGCTCTGAGCTGTCAGCCACAGAACCTGACATGGGGCTCGAACTCACAATTTGTGAGATCATGACTTGAGTGAAGTCGGTTGCCCAACCGACTGAGCCATCCAGGCGCCCCTATGTTTACTTATGAGAGAGAGAGAGAGAGAGAGAATGTGAGCAGGGGAGGGGCAGAGAGAGAGGGAGACACAGAATCCGAAGCAGGCTCCAGGTTCTGAGCTGTCAGCCACAGAGCCTGACGTGGGGCTCGAACCCATGAACCGCGAGATCGTGACCTGAGCTGAAGTGGGACGCTTAAACGACTGAGCCACCTGGGAGTCCCCGGGTTAGATGATTTCTAAGTTCTAGCTGTAAACTCATTTGGCTCAGCACCCTGGGAATGCGAAAGAACCGGGAGCGTGGTCAGAAGCGGGAAGGCGGGAGTGGCCAGGGCCCTGCTGATGGCTCTCTGTGCCTACAGAGTTCACCCACGCAGGGCAGGGTGGGCTGATTGAAGAGCCCACAGGTGATGAGCTGCCGACCAAGAAGGGGCGGAGGAACCGTTTTAAGTGGGGCCCAGCCTCCCAGCAGATCCTGTTCCAGGCCTACGAGAGGCAGAAGAACCCCAGCAAGGAGGAGCGAGAGGCACTGGTGGAGGAGTGCAATAGGTATAATGGCTGGTGGGTTAGCGGGGCTGGTTTGGTCTGGGCTGGGGCAAGGTTGGGTGGCTCTGGGTTCTGAGGAGGGCTCGCCAGTCCTTGAGAGCTCCTCCTGCTGGCCCTGGGGCACTCAACTTCCGCTCAGTGTCTGCAACCTAGTTCCACTCCTAGCACCTACTCCCCACCCACCCGAGCAACCCTTGCGTGGCCGCTCATCTCATTCACCCTCATCTAGCCTCATGGCTATTTTGCTCACTTTATAAATGGAGAGACTAAGAGAGGCTAAGACACTTGCTCAAGGCCACACAGCAGAACTGGGATTAGAACCCAGATCTGCCAGTTTTAAACACTAAGGTAGAACCCTACCGCTCAGAACTCTCTTCGCCACCTCCAGCCCCAGGAGAGGGTTCCTCTGAGCCTGGCCTGGAGGCTCACGAGTGGCCATTTCTGCAGGGCAGAGTGCATCCAGAGGGGGGTGTCACCATCGCAGGCACAGGGGCTGGGCTCCAACCTCGTCACGGAGGTGCGCGTCTACAATTGGTTTGCCAATCGGCGCAAGGAAGAAGCTTTTCGGCACAAGCTGGCCATGGACACATACAGCGGGCCGCCACCGGGGCCAGGCCCGGGCCCTGCGCTGCCAGCCCACAGCTCCCCGGGACTGCCCCCGCCCGCCCTCTCCCCCAGTAAAGTCCACGGTGAGTGATATGTGGGCAGGGGGGTTGAAATGTAGAGGGTAGAGGGGACACGAGTGTCGGCTGGGGAGCTGGGGAGCACCACCTCAGTGGCGGTAGCCACCCAAACCTCTCAGCACTTCAGCTTGGATCCTTATCACTCCACTCCACTCATTACAGTCTCTATCCAGCCCTCTCCTGTCCATCCCACTGACCACGCCCCTCTATTCTCCAGTCCAGCCTAACTTGACTTGGGTTACTTCCATTCATTCAAGATCAATTGACTTCAGTTCAATTCAATTCACTTCAATTCAGTTCAATTCTGTTCAACTCCATATGATCCAATTTAGTTCCTTTAAATTACACCCATCTAATTAAATATAATTGGAGGAAATGAAATTAATTTTGTACAGCTCAGTTCAATTCAATCCAATTCTCTTTGATCCGATTCAGTTCAACTCCACGCGCTCAATCTAGCTCAGTCCATTTCAGGCTCAATTCAGCTGGATTCCATTTCATTGAACTAATTCCAGTTCCTTCTATTCAACTTGGCTCACTGCAATTTCATCAGCATCAGCTCATGTTGATTCAAATGCCTTTCACTGCACACCTACTGCCTATCACATGTAGTGCGAGGAGTGGGGGCCATGGAGCTAATAAAACTCAGGTCTTGCCTTCAAGGAGTTGGAGGCAGCCAGCCCAGGAGCTGGCAGGAGGATGCTCAGGTGAAGTTTGCCGCTGGCACAGAGAAACACGGGGCAAGTGGCCCAAGCACACCAGTGCGGTCTGGGGTGATGAGGGCCAAGGAGGGCAGGGAAGTGAGGTGCTGAGGCTGGGCGCTGCTCCCACTCCAGGCGTGCGCTATGGACAGCCGACAACCAGCGAGGGGGCAGAAGTGCCCTCAAGCAGCGGTGGTCCCTTGGTGACGGTGTCTGCACCCCTACACCAAGTGTCCCCCACGGGCCTGGAGCCCAGTCACAGCCTGCTGAGCACTGAAGCCAAGCTGGTGAGTGTCCTCATACCCCCCAGGTGGAGAAGCGCCTTCCAACCCCATCTTCCATCCTCCCTTGGCCGGGAGACTCTGGAGTCATCCCCAGGGAGACAGTGTGGGGCTCCACCCTCACTCAGCTTGGTTTCCCCTCCAAGGTCTCAGCAACCGGAGGCCCTCTCCCCCCTGTCAGCACCCTGACAGCTCTGCACAGCTTGGAGCAGACATCCCCAGGCCTCAACCAACAGCCCCAGAATCTCATCATGGCCTCACTTCCTGGGGTCATGGCCATTGGGCCCGGTGAGCCCGCCTCCCTGGGGCCCACCTTCACCAACACAGGTGCCTCCACCCTGGTCATTGGTAAGTTGGTGGGCATGGGGGGGGGGGCCCCCGGGGGGGGGGGGGGGTCGTGGGACTGCCACAGAATCCAGAACCTGGAAGAGCCACTGGGACTCATTCATTCATTCATTCATTCACATACTTATTCAGAGCCTGCGCTGTGCCAGGTACTACGCTACATCAGTGATACACAGGTGAACCAAACAGACTGAAATCTCAATGACTCCAGTGGGGAGGCAGACAGCAAACATAATGCAGACGTCACACAGTGTCTTGGAAGGCAAAATGTCTATGGGAAAAGTAAGCGGGAAATCAAAGTTTTGTAGGTTTTGGGTGGCGTGTGTTTTTTCTAAGATGTCTTATTTATTTTTGAGAGAGAGAGAGAAAGAGAGAGAGAGAGAGAGCAAGGGAGGCGCAGAGAGATGGAGACAGAGGATCCAAAGCGGGCTCTGTGCTGACAGCACAGAGCCTGATGTAGGGCTCAAACTTAGGAACCGTGAGATCGTGACCTGAGCTGAAGTCGGACACTTAACCAACTGAGCCACCCGGTGCCCCTGTTTTTTTTAAGCCCAGAAAGACTTTATTTGTAGGAACCAGGATGCAGAGGCTCAATATAGAAGACACAGAGACAGCTGCTGGGAGAGGGGAACAGAGCTAAGCTGTAGGGCCTTTGCACTGCTGTGGAACCAACCTAGTTGGACAAAGCCCCTGCCCCTATAATGAATTAAAGGCTCAGAGAGGGGGAGCGCCTTGCTTAGATCAAGTAAGTTAGTGACAGCTCCTAGGGCAAAGGTGTTTCCTGGTCGCCTCTTCCCTTCCCCCAACCCTTTGGCTCTGGGAGGGAGGGACAGTGCCCCCAGGGGTCGGTGCGGGGCCAGGGGAGGCAGTGAAGGGGGTAGGAAGCCTGGCTGACTCCCGTTCCTCCCGCTCCAGGCCTGGCCTCCACTCAGGCACAGAGCGTGCCGGTCATCAACAGCATGGGCAGCAGCCTGACCACCCTGCAGCCAGTCCAGTTCTCCCAGCCACTGCACCCTTCCTACCAGCAGCCACTCATGCCCCCCATGCAGAGCCACGTGGCCCAGAGTCCCTTCATGGCCACCATGGCCCAGCTGCAGAGCCCCCACGGTGAGTACCCCTAGCCCCACGCTGTCCACGAGCACGGGGTGGGCGGGTGGAGGTATAGGGTGGCTTAGCAGCTGTTGTGGTCTGTGTGTGTGAGCGCTTCTGTGATGAGGTGGTCTGCAGGCCAGAATATGACTCAGTGTGTAAATATGCGTGGTGTTTCTGTGAGTGGGAAGGCACGTGGGCGTTCACGGGTGTTTGCAGGGGCACACCCACGTGAGAGGACACCACACGTCCTTTCTCTGCAACCCACGGGGCCACGTGTATTTCAGAATTCGCTACTTCTCAGACTTCACATATGGTGGATCCGCCGTATGTTTTAATCACACTCCCAGCGGGGCTCGGGCAGTGTCTCGTCATCAAAGCCCTGGGATGTCTGCAGCAGGAGGCAGGAGGCCACGAAGGAGGTTAATAAAGACGGGGCACAACCTCACAGCGGGCTCGGGTGGGAGTTTGCCACCAAAAGCGCTCTAGTGCCGACCTTATGAAAAATCTATGGGTTTTTCAGACCTTTGTGGAGTTCGGAACCGGGCCTGAGGGACTGTGCACCTGTGTATCTGTGTGGACTTGGTTCAGTGCACGTATTTATGTGCGTGTATGGTTTCATCTGCGTCGATGTGAGAATGTGTGCTCATGTGCTTTTCTGCTGGTGTCCGTGTGCGTTCTTGTGGGGCCGGGCTGTAGGTGAAACTTTGGGTGACACTTTGGAGAGGTGTCCTGGAGGCGGAGCTACACGGCCCTCTGTCCCGCTCAACCTCCTAACGGGAGCTGCCAGCCTTTCCCTCCGTGGCCCGTAGTTAGCACAGTAGCACCTAGCCTCCCACTGCCGTTCACACTTGTCGTCCTCAGGCGGTGGGTGTGGGTTCCTGTCCTCCCCCAGCCTTCCCCCCATGGAGCCAGCCTGAGCAGGGTCCTGTAGTTGGGGAGAGGGTCTAACCCCTCTATCTGGAGCTCCCAGCTTGGGATATCTGTCCTGAGTCCCCAAGCAGTCCTCCATCGGGCCACTTACCAGGCCTCGTGCCTCACTTCCCCCACAGCGCCCAGCTTTGAGGCCCTCTCAGGAGGGACCCAGCCTGGCCCAGGGTGTCTGGTCTTTACCCCCCTCTCTCCTCCCTCCCGGCCAGCCCTCTACAGCCACAAGCCTGAGGTGGCCCAGTACACCCACACGGGCCTGCTTCCGCAGACCATGCTCATCACCGACACCACCAATCTGAGTGCTCTGGCCAGCCTCACGCCCACCAAGCAGGTAAGGCCCAGGCCTGCCTGGCCCCTCGCTCGGGCCCCACCCCACAGTGCACCCATGGGGGGCTCAGGAGGCCGCTCTGTTCCCCCAGGTCTTCGCCTCAGACACGGAGGCCTCCAGTGAATCCGGGCTGCATACGCCGGCGTCTCAGACCACCACCATCCACATCCCCAGCCAGGACCCCGCCGGCATCCAGCCCCTGCAGCCCACCCACCGGCTCAGCGCCAGCCCCACCGGTGAGCCGCCTTTCCCTGCTCCCTCAGGTGGGGAGGAAGGTGTGTGCGGCAAACGGGAGGGTGCCCTGTGCTCCCCCGACGGGAGCCAAGAGGGGCGTGAAACCACAGGGAAGTGGGCCTGTCTTACAGGAATATCTCACTGACTCGGGACGGGGAAGAGATGAATTGCGAGAGACAGGGGAGGGTGACGGTGAGGAGCGATCTGATCTGGCCTTGCTTTGGGCCAGAGGTGGCTCGCAAGCGTGTTGGGTGGCTCAGGGTTTAGCATGGAGTTCATTGCCCACGTTTAAAGATGAGCTTTCACAAAGGAATCGTGATTTCTGGCTTTTCCTGGAGAATCGGAGACCCGTGTTCCCACGCAGCAACAACAGCGTGCGGGCTCTCTAGGTCAGCTACATCGCACTTGACCCATTCATTTCCATCCCCCGGTGCCCCGAGCCCGCAATCTACGATGTCGATGAAGGGCGGGCACCGGGGAGTCAGGCTGGTGGGCTCTGAGGCCGGGGGTGGCCACTCGCTAAGTGCGGGACTTGGGCAGCCGCTTCATCCCGTGAGCCTCAGGTTTCTCCCTCCAGCCCTGGTGGCTGCAGCGACAGGAACTGAGGGCTTCCTGCTCTACCCACGGGGCACGCGTCATCATCCCCGTTTTACAAATGGGAAAGCAGACGCCAAGGAGGTGAGGGACTTGGTCTTGCCTCCGACAGCTACTACCAGGTGGCAGGGCCAGGACTTGAACCCAGGTCCCAACTCAAAGCCCATTCTCTTAGCTGTCGGAATCAGTCAGGGTTCTCGTAAGACACAGAACCAACAGGAATACAGTAGATCCCTGAACAACATGGTGTTTGAACTGCACAGGTCCACTTACATGTGGATTTATTTCATTGTTTTTTTAAGTTACTTTTTTTTTAAAGTTTATTTATTTTGAGAGAGAGAGAGGGAGAGAGAACGAGTGGGACTGGGGCAGAGATTGGGGGACAGAGAATCCAAAGTAGGCTCCTCGCGGACAGCAGGAAGCCCGATGTGGGGCTTGAACTCACAAATTGTGAGATCGTGACCTGAGCAAAAGTCGGAAGCTTAACTGACTGAGCTACCCAGGCGCCCCCACGTGGATTTTTTCCGACACAGCACAGGACTGTAAATGTATTTTCTTTTCCTTAGGATGTTCTTCTTTTTTAATATTTATTTATTTTTGAGAAAGGGACGGGAGAGAGAGAGAGAGAGAGAAGGAGGGAGAGAGAGAAGGAAAGAGAGAGAGAGATGGGTTAAGAGAGAAGAAGAGGGAGAGAATCCCAAGCAGGTTCCCAGCTGTGTGCGCAGAGCCCGACACGGGGCTTGAACTCACGAACCACAAGATCGTGACCTGAGCTGAAATCAAGAGTCGGCTGCTTAACCGACGGAGCCACCCAGGCTCCCCTTCCTTATGACATTCATGATACTTTTTTCCCTCTAGTTTACCTTTTGTAAGAATACAGTGCCTAATACCTCTAACATACAAGATATGTGTCAATTGACTTGTTTATATTATTGGTCAACAGTAGGCTATTAGTAGCTAAGTTTTGGGGGAGTCAAAAGTTACCTGCAGATTTGTGACTACGCAGGGGGTCAGCGCCCCTGACCCTCGCACTGTTTAAGGGTCAACGGTATAGATATATATTCAAGGAACTGGCTCACACGCCTGTGGGGCCGACCAGTCTGGCAGCAAAGGCAGGATGTGATCCTGCAACCTTGAGGTAGGATTCCTTCTTCTCTAGGAAGCCTCAGCTTTTGCTCTTAAGGCCTTTGACTGATTAGATGAGACCCACCCGTGTCAGCCAGAGAAATCTCCTTTACTTGAAGTCAACTGATCAGCGGTGTTAACCGCGTCTACTCAATACCCCCACTGCAACACTTCAGTGTTTGGTTTCATGACTGGGCCGCAGCCTAGCAACGCCGAAGCCTGAAAGTAACCACACCGCCCCACCAGGGCTTCTCCGATGTTCCTACTAAAACGTCCTGAGGTGGCCACCCCCCGGGTGGCCCCGGAGCCTGGCTGGGGGTTAATAAGACCCAAGGGTAGAGGCCTGGCTTTGGGGGTCTGGTTATCTGCTGTAATTCAGGAGGTGGCGAGGCCCTGTGTGGCCTGTCCCAAGGGCCCCCAGGGATGGGTGGGCGAGGTGGGGTTGGGAAGGGCTTGGCAGACAGCCAGCTGTCTCGCTTGCCCCTGCAGTGTCCTCCAGCAGCCTGGTGTTGTACCAGAGCTCCGACTCCAATGACGGCCACAGCCACCTGCTGCCATCCAACCACAGTGTCATCGAGACCTTCATTTCCACACAGATGGCTTCATCTTCCCAGTAACCACGGCAACCGCCCCCCAGGGGCTGGGCCCTGCCTGGAGCGTGCCTGGCGTACTTGGGGGGTGACTGGGACATGTGAGCCTGTGAAACTTCCACTGCCACAAGAGAGCGGCCTTCCCTGGAAAACTGCCACCCTGCTCTGTCAGCAACGGAAAGGAGGGTTTCAAGGCGCCCCGACCTCAGGAGGGCTGTTTCAGTGCACGAGAGGGGACTGTGGAGAGCTGGGAAGCAGAGCAAGACACGGACGAGAGGGACTGTCCCTGCTGCTCAGGGTGAATCTTGCCACTTGGAACAGAAGGGGACAGCCTTTGGGCTTTGGTACCTCCAGCCTGTGCCTGTGGAGACCCCCGGGAACCCCCAAGGGAACCCTTGTAGCCGCACTCCTCGGGACACAAGCCTGCGTAGCTGTGACTCACGGAGCTCAGTGAGAGGCCCAAGATCAACATGGCCCCGTCCTGTCACCTGTGCCCTGACCAGGCCCCTCCGCCCCGCCCCAGTTCCAGCTATTGACCCTGCTCCCCACTCACATAAGCATTCTCCGAGTGGCTACCCAGTGCCCGGGCTGGGGCTCAGATGCCCACGCCCCAGGAGGGCTCAGGCTAGCGGCCGAGGCATGCGGGGCTCTCCAGCTTCTCTCGTCCTCAGCCACCCCTCCCCTGGCCTCCAAGATGGCTGGTTCTCTCCGCCATTCATCCCCCCCACACCTTCTCACGCCAGCCCGGCATCTCGCCTCAATGGGAAAGCCCCCCTCGGGACTAGGAAGTCCGTCTTGCCCCACGGGAGCCTTGTGACTCTGCGCCTGGTGCCGCTGTTGAGATTCTGATAACAGCTCCTCTGGCCCGTGGGGCCCTGCAGCCCCTCCCTGGTCTGGGGGACAAGCTGCTGGGGTCAGAAGGCAGCAAGGCCTGAGCAGATGACAGAGCTGAGGTGCCCAGAGGGTGAGGGGAGAGACGAGACCGGCGGGGAGGAGCTCCCCGTGGGGACGGGGCTGATGCCTGGAAGCTTGGGAGCTCGGCCGGCTGAGGGATGTGGAGGCCAGGTGGTCACAGCCACAGCCAGGAGCCTGAGGTCCTGAGTGCCACCAGGAGGCACACTGTCAGCCCGGGGCTCTATGACCTCCTCTCCAGGAAGGGGCTGCTGCAGACAACTTGGCCTTGAGGGCTGCTCCCACCCTGGACGGAGGAAAGGGCCGGGGCAGAACCAGCACCCCCGAGGCTTGCAGCCAGCCAAGAGCCAACCTGTACATTTATTTAACTTGTAGTAAAGGAAATGAGGAACGGAGGAGTGGAAATGCATACTGGAAACTTCTTGCTTGTCCACATGTTGCCCAGACGGGGCTGGGCAGGCAGAGGGAGGTGGTGGTGGGTCACACTCTCACGTCCTGCCTCTGTCTTTCTCGCTCTGCCAAACCTCAGAGTCAAGGCCACAAAGCCAGAATTCCACTTTAACCCTGAGCTTCTGCTCTTCCCCTGCAGAATGCTGCAGGTGTCTGAAAACCGGTCCACAAGTGCTGTGGTGCTTCTCGAAGTCTTGAGGCTGGGGTGCAGGAACACAGCTTGGGGTGTAGACAGGACCCCACCTACGTGAGGTTTATTTAGCATGTCTCATCAAGATTCGGCATGGACAGGGAAGGAGCACCCAGATCACTTTGTTATGTCTGGGGTCATTTATTTTCAACAGTCTGGTTGGCTCAGAGACACGATCATGTGTGGCACATTCACAAATGTGGAGAAAGAAAATTCTGGCAGCCTAGGGGGGAAAAAAATCTCTCTCCTTCTTTTTATCAAGTCTGTGCAACCTGGAGGGAGAAGTACAAAACTCTTTCTTGGCCTTGTCATCTCAGGGGCCCCTTCCCTCGTTAAGGTGGTCTCCCACACCAGGTTGGGAAGGTGGAGAGGAAGGAAAAACTCTCCTGTCACTTACTCTCCTCAGACAGTGCTGGGAAGATGGAAGCTTTACCATGTGGCCTTCGGTCTTGAGTAACTGGAAGGCTCCTTTTTCCTGAGGCCATGGAATGTTCTGGCATCACAGGTCTGCCCCAGTTCCCAACGGGAGCACAGATGGGCAGGCCTCGATTAGGCTTCTCACCCTACAACCGTGTCTCTGTCCCAACCCTTGGGCGAGCCCCAATCATGGGCAGAGTCTGGACCTCTGTCCAGCCAAGTCCTTGAACTTGGAGGGAGGTGGGGCTTGGAAAGGCCTCGTCCTCGGGCTAGTTGGGCCCCGTGCCTGTGGGGCTCCGATCAGTTGGCAGGCACGGCCACTGCCCTCTTCATTGGTGGGATTGGGGAAGCCTCGCTGGCCTTTGCTTTTTTCCTCCTTCTCTTCTTTTTGGTCCCAAGTGATGTCTGGTCTCCATTGAGCCTGGGTGAATGCTTTTCCTGCTTCCCTATGGTGGCCCCGCTTGTGGTGGTGGTGGCGGCCGGGGCGACCGAGTCGGCACCGGCCTCCTTCTTGGCTTTCTTTTTCAACTTCTTTTTCTTCTTCTTTGCCTCTTTCTCCACTTTGACAGGGCCGTGGATGGCAGATTCCTGGAGGATGTCGGAGGCTGACACGGCCGCCTCCCGGCACCGCTGCCACTCCTCGTCGCTGTCCTCGCTGCTACAAGGGGAGGGCACAGAGTGGGGACAGGGCCCCAGAGCCAGCAGGAAGAGGTCACGGCGGGGTCGGGGGGGGGGGCGGTGCTAGAAAGCTCCAGCTTGGGAATGAGGCCGGCCTGGGTTCCAACATTGGCTTCTCCACTTCCCAGCTGTGTGATCTCATTAAGTGACTTAACCTCTCTGACCCTCAGTGTCTCCATCTATGAAATGGGTGCGTGGGTCTCACAGGGATGCCCCAGGAGTGAGGTGTCTGGCGCAAGATGATGCTCAAAAAGCAGTAAAGATCCAAAGCGAACTCCCAACAGAACCCTCTTCCCTCTCCCACTGAGGGTACTACTTCTCGACCTCCCTGACATGGCTCCTTCTTGGCCTAGATCTGACCAGATTCTGCATGGCTATTCTGGGGGGCTGGCAAACACAGACGACGGGCAAAAAGGAGGGAACGTGAGGAGGGGGTGTGATACCTCACCTGGAGCCGGAAGGGAAGCGCTTTCGGCTGGGCTGGGGAGCAGCTTTCTTGTCGGAGCCTCCGGGGATGGATGTGAAGAAAAGGCGGAAGCCTAAAATCCAAAGGGGTCGATCGAGTCAGCACTGCCAGGGGCCAGCCCCTCCTCCCAGGTGCCAAGGCTGCCCCGCCTCTGCCCTCGAGGAGATCCAACAGATGTACGTTGAGAGGCACCGGGTGCCTCCTGGAGCCAGGGCCCGAGGTGCCAGAGGGGACGCGAGCTGCGCATTCAGAGCAGCAAGCCCTCAGAGGCTTCTGGAAGCCAGCGGTTGAGCCTTCTGCCTAAGGCAGCTTCCAAAGTGGCAGGTGGGTTGGGTGCGGGACAGACACTCAGCAGGGAGAGGCTGTGAAGTGCCGTGGTTAAGATGCCCCTGCTTGGGGTTAGACTGACAAAGGTGCTTCAGGCAAGTGACTTCGTTTCTCAGAGCCTCAGCTCCCATGACACCCTGCCCTGCAAATAGGGGTATCATCATCATACCCACCTCAGAGATCCCAGAACGTACCAAAATGTATTTCCCAGCTCCAGATACACATGAGGTGGGAGACAAGAGCTGGCCTTAATAGTAAAACCACTCACCATCATCCTCCGGGGGGACTTTCTGTATTTCAGTCTTTTTCGGCTCCTTCACTACTTCTGAGATGGTAATTGAGCTACGGAAGGAGGAAATGGTTAAGGATGAGATTTTGGGTAACAAAAAAATTTTTTTAAGTGGAGGGGACGGGGGCATGTGATGTTAAATGCAATGGCAGCAAGCAAGCCGGCCTGATAAGAACGGTTAACGCCTACAGCCATAACATGCTGATCAGCCCCCGACAGCTGAAACTGCAGTGCCTCATTTGTTTGAACCCCACTTTATTCCAGGAAGTACTGAAGAAGTTTTAAAGATATACACAGTACCACAGAATGAATGCAATTTTGAATAGAGCAAAGAAAATAGGCCAGGAGGGACAGAAAGTGCTGGAGAGCAGGCACATGTTTGCTTTGAGCATCCTGGCAGCAAGCATGAAAAGGGAAATAGGACCGACAGATCTAGAGAACTGGTTCAAGGTCAGCTGTCAGCTCGGACACAGTGTTTTTTTTGTTTTGTTTTGTTTTGTTTTTTCTTTTTTTTTTTTTAACACAGATAGATTTATTTTTTAATTTTTTTCATGTTTATTTATTTTTGAGAGAGAGACAAAGCACGAACAGGAGAGGGGCAGAGAGAGAGGGAGACACAGAATCTGAAGCAGGCTCCAGGCTCCTAGCTGTCAGCACAGAGCCCGACACGGGGCTTGAACCCATGAACCATGAGATCATGATCTGAGCCGAAGTCGGACACTCAACTGACTGAGCCACCCAGGCGCCCCTCTAACACAGTGGTTTAATGTAGGTCTGCAGGGCGTATTAAGCAATGTCTGGACACATTTTTGGTTGTCACAACTGGTGGTGGTGGCGGGGGGGGGGGCGGCGCGGCGCGGGAAATGCTATTAGGATCTGGTAGGTAGAGGCCAGGGATGCTGCTCCCTGTTCTATAGTGAAACAGGAAGAGCCAGTCTAAAAGGTTAGTGGTGCCAAGGCCAAGAAGCCCTGATCTAACGCAAGAGACCAACTAGAGAACCATTTAAGTCTCCTTGCAGAGAAACACAAAAACGCCGCAGGGAGTGTGCTGACTGCTGTTGACACGCATCCGGCTGGATTTCCACCTGCGGAAAAGTCTGATGTGGATCATCGCAGTGCTGGGTGGGCCTTGTTCACCCTGAAGCCGAAGAGTCATGAAGAAAAACTGCACCCGTGTGTTGAAATGCCAACAGACCCTCCTACACGTTTACCACATTCTCGAGCTGGGGCACTGGTACTGAGACCGCGGTGGTTCAGGCTGCTAAGGTCTGGCCCACCACTCTGTCTCAGAGCAGCTGGTTTACACTGTGATAGGACATGTTTGTCTTTGTCACGTTTCGGGACTAAGGCCTGAACATCCTCATTTCCCTTTCAAAATCTGGTAGGGCTCAGTCAATCAGGGATGGATCTAGGCCAGTGTCTCTTGAAATGTGTTCCTTGCTACACTGATCGGCCTTCCATGAAGCAAAGCCACTGTGGCCAGATGAGTTTGGAAGCTGCTGGGCCAAGCAAAGTCACGCATGTCCCTTTACCGCAGATTCTCAGAGCCTTGACTACACGATTAGGAATCTAAATCTCCGGGGGGCACCTGGGTGGCTCAGCTGGTTAAGTGTCTGACACTTGATCTCGGCTCAGGTCATGATCTCATGGTTTGTGAGTTCGAGCCCTGCGTAGGGCTCTGTGCTGACAGAGTGGAGCCTGCCTGAGATTCTCTCTCTCCCCTTCTCTCTGCCCCTCCCCAACTTGTGCTCTCTCTCAAAATAAATAAATAAAGGTAAAAAAATATCAGCTCTGCTCCCTCCTCCCTATGGCTTCGAGCAAACGCTCCTTCTCCCAGAGAACCTATTTCCTCACCGGCAGACGAGGACAACGACAGGACCTACGTGGCAGATTGTGCATGCCATGAGGTGACACAGCATGTGCTCCCCGCAGCGCCTGCTTGCACACCCCAAGCTCCCCACCGACGAGGGCTGCTACTGTTCGTATTAACGGAAGCAGGGGAAGAGAAGGAACATTTTTGGTTACCTGTCCAGCAGGGCTCCCAGTTTCTTGGCTACGTGGGCTCGGAATTCAGGGGTGGTCTGAAGCTCATTGCCATCTTGTTCATGTTCGTCCGCTTTCCGCCTGCAACGCACACGAAAGGACCTCACTTCCCGCCAGCTCAGAGGCTGCTCCCCACCCCCCACCCACGAGGGTAGGGACGACATGTGTCTCATTCACCCCGATAGCCCAGGGTCTATCCTTGCATCTGGCACACAGTAGGGGATAAATATTTGTTTAGAGAATGGATTAAACTTGGACCCAAAGCACACAGTACCTGAGGCTTGGCTGGCTGGCTGGCAACTGATTATTTGCGGCATCTGTGGAAATAACGAAAATTGAGGCAATTATAGAGAAAATGACAGGAACAGTATCTGTTGTGCGTCAGAGGTGATTTTAAGTGATTTACACGTATAACTCATTGAATGTTGCCAACAACCATGTTAAGGGAGTTATTATTCCCATTTTGCAGAAGAGGAAACTGAGACAAGGAGATAAGATAACTTGGCCAGAGTCACATGGCTAATAACCGAGAGGGTTGGGGCCAGACCCAAGTCATCTGGCTCCAGAGCCCCCTCTTAACTACCATACTGAACAAGAAAGTGTATTGGATTCCAGTATTTATTGAGCACCTACTATGTGCCTGGCTCTGTGCTAAGTGCTGTGGGGGACAGAGAATCCATTATGTAGATCACATTTTTTCAGGCTGAGACTGGAAATGGCTGGCCTGGTGATCATTCACTCAACTGAATACTGAAGCTCTAACATTACCCAGGTGGTATTCTAGGTGCTGAACAATTTAGACATGGATGCCAGTCCTCACGGAGCTTACATGCTGGTTGGTGGATACGGAGGACTAAAACACACAATTAAAATATAAAATTAGATCATGATAAATACAGAGGGGAAATAAACACAGCAGGAGAGAGAAGTGGTGAGGGCTAGGCAGGGGATCATTTTATAAAGGCAGGTAGGGAGGACTTCACGTATAGGTGACAGGTGAATGGATTTCAGAGAGGCAAGTGAGTGAGTCAAGTGGACATCTGGGGAGGAGTCTTCCAGGAAGAGGGAAGAGCACCTACAGAGGCCCCAAGGCAGGAGCCTGCCTGGTGCATCTGAGAACCAGCAAGGAAGCCGGGGTGGCTGCGGCCCAGTGAGTTAGGGGAGCAGCAGAAATGGGGACCTTATGGGGGGCCAGATCATGAAGGGACTGGTGGGCCAGTGTGACGACCTGGGCCCTGAGGGAGGTGAGGAGCCACTGCAGTCTGCACAGAAGAGGGACACGAATGGACTTGGGATTTTACAGCACATCTCTGGCTGCAGTGTGGACATAGACCCTGGTAGGGCAAGGGCAGAAGGAGGGGGACCATGGCAATCATGGAGGCGATGAGAAGGGGCAGGACTCTGGATGTATTCTGAAGGAATCAACAGGATTTTGCTGACAGATTCGATGGATGGTGTGAGAGATGTATGAAAGATGGTTCTGAGGTTCTTGACTTGAGTAATGGGACAAAACGTTCTTGTGAGTTTAAGGAGCCAACTGGTCAAAATGATCACTTGGTAACTCTGGGCCCACAACAGGGCCACGTGGTGTTAAAACAACTGCGGGGCACACAGTTCACATTGTGATCCACGTCAAAAGTGCTGTGGAGCATAACACGGAATGCAAAGTGCCCGATGCCCCTGGAGTCGGAGAATGCAGATGGCCGGGATAGACCCAGAGTCCTTCCTTCTGAGCGTGCCATCACAAGGAGGAGAAGGATTTCCTCTGTCATGACCACGGAGCGAGGGCTGTGATATAATGTCATGGAACAGAAATAGCATTAGACCCCGGGCCTCAGAAGACGGGTTTCAGTTAAGTTCTGGTTCTTCCACTGTGACTCCGGACAAGTCCCTTTACCTCCCCAAGCCTTTGTTTTGGCATCTAGAAAGTGGGGATAAGACCTCCAACTTCCCAGAGTCCCTGTGAGGATATAGCGAAATTTTACATGGGTTTGGACACTTTGTTTGCACGTCTGTCTCCCCCTGGATTTGAAAGCTGCTGGAGCACATGGTCTGCGTCTTGCTTTCTGTACGTCTCCAGCTCTTGGCATGGTGCCTTGGTGTGAAAGAAACATTGCATAAAGTAATCACAGTGTACGTTGTCTTAAAATGTAAGTGGTTTGAGGTGTGGGTGACCAGTGCTTCATTACTGGATTAAAGAGCTGTATCAGGGGTTACAGTAATAATATAGTAACCTACAGGGGCGCCTCGGTGGCTCAGTCAGCTAAGAGTCTGACTCTTGATTTCGGCTCACGGCATGATCCCAGGGTTGCTGGAATTGAGCCTCAAATGGGGCTCTGTGCTGGGCATGGAGCCTGCTTAGGATTCTCTCTCTGCCCCACCTCCATGCTTGCATTCTCATGCTCTCTCTCTCA